GAAGCCCCTGACTACTGTCAGCTCAGAAATGACCACAGTGTCTTCCTGTTGGATATAAACAATTTTACAGAAAACTAAAATCAGACAAGACTCCTAGACCACTCTCATAACTATATCAGACCAAGACTAAAACAAGACCAAAGAGCAATCATGTCTGAGCACAGATAAAAACAAGAGCATTATGCAAATCCCAAAAATAAGTAAAATCCCCCTTATCCAACTAGCGTGAGTAATGCTGATCCTGCTGATTCCTTGGCAATTACAACTTTAGTTTTACTCCATTCCTCCTAGTTAAAAATTGTTAAGTACCTAGTTATGGAATTGCCTTTACTTTCTGACAGCCTCTAATCCAGAGCAAAACTATATTTCATTGAATCCTCCTTGAAATTACAGAGCACAAACTTGAGCTCTGTGACAAGCTCTTTCTATCACACCCTTACTGGTCCACCATGGTGGGCTGCCTCTCTCCCTGCAATGAGCCAAGAAGTCTAGTATTTACTAGAGATGTCTTCCTGGCGAATTTTAGTTAGAAGGCATCAAAAAGAGAAGTCTCAGATGAGCTGACAGTTGAGCAAATACTCGAATGAAGTATAGGAATAAACCATTTGGCCATGTGAGGAAAAGGGAAAAGCAGAGCAAAGAATCCAAAACTGGACCATGCCTGGGTAGGTTCAAGGAAGAACAAAGATAGAGAGATAGTTAGATCCCAAAAAGTGAAAAAAAGAGATGAGAAATCGCCACAACACCATGGTGTAATGGTCTGAATGTTTGACTACCAGCCCCTACAAATTCATTTGTGGAAGTCCTAACACCCAATATGATGGTATTAGGAGGTGAAGTCTTAGGGAGGTGATTAGGGTTAGATGAGGTCATGATGGCAGATTCTGGTCTAACGGGATTAGTGCCCTTATAAGACACACCAGGGGGCTTGCTCTATCTCTCTGGCATGTAATTACAGAGTGGGATGGGTATCTATTTGCAAGCCAGGAAGAGAGCTCTCACCAGAAACCAATCATCCTGGCACCTTGATCTCAGACTTCCAACCTCCAGAACTATGAGAAAATGTATTTCTGTTGTCTAAATCACCAAGTCTATGGTGTTTTGTATGGCAGCCCAAGTAAACTAAGACACATGATAGAGACTTGGGTTTTACTCCACTTCAAGTGAGTTGGAAAACTTTGGAGGGTCTTAACATGACCTGACATGTTTTAATAGGATCACTCTAGCTGCTCCACTGAGAATGTATTATAGGGAAGCCAGGAAAAGAAGCATGAAACCCAGTAAGGAATTCAGACAGTAAATAATGGTGGCTTTTTTGGGGTAATAGTAATGAAAACGGTGAAAAAGTAGGCATTGAGGATACAACAGTCTACTGAAAGCCAGTCTTGGATACCAAATTTATTTTGAAAATAGAGACAACTATTTGACAATATGTTTGCTTTGGACCCTGAAGGAAATACAAGTGTTTTATTTTTATTTATTTATTTTTTAAATTTAGGCAATGCCAAGGAGAAGCCCAAGTCAATTAAAGTAAATATATTTCTGATCTTGAGTTCTGATTTTATTTAATTTAGCATGGTGATTTTTGCAACATTTAATATTTGTTAGGTTGGTACATAGATAAGAATGCATCCTAGAATGCTATTTTACCACAAATTTTTACAAAGCATTGCTGTTACAAAGTGATTATCAGAGAACACTTAGATAAATAGCACTGAGAACAGGAAGAGCTGGCCAGCAGCATGAGCCAAAAGATGCATACAGCCTCAGGGGTCTAGGTAGAAAAGGAAAAAAAAGGGGAAAGTGGATGGCTGTAGGGACCATCCTGTTTCCTAGTACTGCGCTGCAGAATAATCAGACCTTACTAAATAAATAGGCTGTGCATCCCAGTAGCTGTGCCATTTCCTCCCTGAGGCCATAGCATTGTTGACTTTAAATTTATTCAACAGGAAATGAGAATGTTTCAGCATCTAATATCAGGTCCTGGAGGCAATTGCCTAAGGAATAAGTAACATTAGGATAGTTGTTGGAAAGCAGCAGAATTTGCTTTCAAAGAAAGTATATAATACAGTGTTATTTATTGATTAATTATTATTTTATTGACTTAAATAGACAATAAATGCATGACTAAGAATATGTGAGAATGAATCAGTGACATTTGTGCTTGGGTAACTCAGTTACAATTTTATCATTTCTGAATTAGATTGAGGAAATTACCTGTACTTTCTGCTTGAAAAACTAATGAACTGGATTTTGGACTAACTAATGCCCAAACCTACACCAGGCCCAATGTTTTCAGAAAGACATTGGGAAAAAAATGATAGAATAAATCACATTTTAAATGCATTTTAAACCCTTTGGGTATAGGAACAAATCACTCTTCTCCAGACCAGACAGCACTCATATGTGCCAGAGGAGACAGATGGGTACAAATAACTATTTGCTTATTTCGAGATGAAGCCTATTGCAAGATTACTTGAACTCACTTAAAATGTGCACAGATGGAAGATGAATATCAGCAAAAATTAACTTCCTCCTTTGGTAAGAGGCAGGTCTTTGGTTTTATTTTGTTTTAAGATAAAATTTTATTTTAGTGTTTTCTAAAAATAGTCTAGTTCTATCAGACAATGAAAACACTGCAGAGGTAAAAGCTGATCTTACTATGAAATATGTGACAATTATTTCCTCTTCAGGCAGCAATTATTTTTGTATTTGTACAAAATACATCGATTAATTTTGTGTTTGCGTTTAAGAACAAAAATTGGATTCAGTGACACATGTGCATAATGTCCAGAGAAAGAGAGCCCAGGCAAAACTGAAGACAATACAAGGGAACACGGTAGCACGATGATGAAATGGAATCTGTAAAAGGAAGACTTGAGTAGTGACTAAAACAGGAAGGACAGTTTGAATTTTTTCTCATAAACTTTTCCTTCCTTTGCTATAACGTGCTGCTTTGAAAGCTCTCTCATCTCCAACCTTCTTCTAATTATGTAGTTCCTGCTGCATAAATATTTGTTGACTAAAGAAAAGATTGAAAGAGCTCAGGGTAGAAAATTTGGAAAATCTGGAAAATTACATTGAAGAAAATGAAAGCCACTGTTAATCTCACCAACATCAAAGAGGCAATCTCAGTCATCATGCTGAAGCAATTTTGTCCAAATTTCTTTATACAAATACACATATGCATAAACAGTCACAAGAGATATTTTTTTAAATTTTGTTTTACAGTTAACATTAGACACTCAAACACTCTTTATAATCAAAACATTCATTAAAAGCATGATTTTAAAGACTACATAATATTTCAAAGAATGTTTTATCATCTATAAGGCAATTCACCTTACTTTTATCATCTATAAGGCAATTCACCTTAAGGCAATTCAATTTAGATTGTTTTATATGTTACGAAATAACTATATATACAAATATTTGTCTAAAATTTAGATTACTGTCTTAAGATAGATTTCTTATTGGCTTCATAAAATGTTAGGAAATATTGTCTCCTCTTTGATTTTTTGGAAGAGTATGAGAAGAAAGGTATTAATCTTCTATGAATGGTTGGTAGAACTCATTGGCAAATCCATGTGGTCCTGGACTTTTACTTTTTGATAGGTTTTTGATTTCCATACTACTGATTGATCTATTTAGATTTTTCAGTTCTTCTTGATTCAGTCTAGGAAGTTTGTATATTTCTAAGAACTTGTCCATTTCTTCTTGTTATTAAATTTGGTGTTATATACTTTTTCATAGTATTCTTGTATGATCTTTTGTATTTCCGTGGTGTCTGTTGTAATTTCTCCTCTTTCATCTTTGATTTTGTTTATTTGCATCCTTTCTCTTTTTTCTTTAGTGAGTCTAGCCAGAGGTTTGTCAATTTTATTTAACTTTTTAAACAAAATAGTAATGAATGTTCAGCATACATAGGAACAAATTAAGATAACAATGTCTGGAAAGAGGAGGATTCTTGTTTTTGGAGATAGGCCTATAATGATATAAACTTTCCTCTTATGACCACTTTTGCCGTGTCCCAAAAGTTTTGATATGTTGAAATATCATTATCATTCATTTCTATGTATCTCTTGATCTCTCTTTCTTCTCTGACCCAGTCATTATTCGGTAAGACATTGTTTAATCTCCATGTATTTGTGGTTCTTCCCACTTTCTTTTTACAGTTGACCTCCAGCTTCAAAACATGATCAGAGAATATGGTTGGTATGATTTCAGTCCTCTTATATTTGTTGAGGCTAGTTTTGTGTCCTAGTGTGTGGTCAGTCCTTGAAACATTCCATGTGCACTAGAGAAATGAATAAGCAGCTGTTTTGGGATGAAAGACTGTAAATGTCAATTATATACAGTCGATCTAATGTGTCATTTAAAGCTGTTATTTCCTTACTGATTTTCTGTTTGAATGATCTGTCCATATCTGACAGTGGGGTATTTAGGTCTCCTACTACGATAGTGTTTTTGTCTGTTTCTCCCTTTAGTTCTGTTGGTAATTGTTTTATATATTTTGGGGCTCCCTAATTGGGAGCATAAATATTGATAAGTGTTATGTCTTCTTGGTGCATGATTTCTTTTATCATTATGAAGTGTCTTTCAGTATCTTTCTTTATCTTTTTTATTTTGAAGTCTATTTCATCTGATATTAGCACCACTACTCCTACTTTTCTCTGAATTCTTGAAATATCATTTCTCCCCCTTTCCTTTTAAGTCTATATTTGTCTTTGGAACTGAGATGTGTCTCTCGAAGATAGTAAATGGTTGGATTTTTTTTCTCCATTTTTTCTTTCTTTTTAAATCCAATTTGTAACTCTGTGCCCTTTTATTGGTGAGTTCAGTCCATTTACATTTAGGGCGATTATTGAAATGTGAGGTTTTCCTATAGTCATTTTACCTTTTGCTTTCTGGTAGCTCGGTGTTTTCATCATTTCCTTGTCCTTGCATTTCTGTCTGTTATTTGAATTTAGTTAGGTTTTGTGACTTTTCCCTCTGGTCCTTAAAATATGGAATACTTCACGAATTTGTGTGTCATTCTTGCGCAGGGGCCATGTTAATCTCTATATCATTCCAATTTTAATATATGTGCTGCCAAAGTGAGAACTAATTTGTCATTTTGACATTATTTTAAATGTACCTTAAACATAATGGCAAGCAAAAAATGGTAGATACAAATGAATACATACAGTATTAATAGTCCAGTTATACATAATTAAAAACAGACAAAACTAATCTTTGATGTTAGAAAGTAGTATAGTAGCTAGTTTGGGGAAATGGGAGGGGGTAGAGATTAGAAGGAATATGAGAAAGGGCTTTCTTGACCAATATGTATAATTAATCCTCAAGTGTACATTTCTAAATGAATATACTTTAATAAAGTGTTTTTAATGATAATAACTCATATAGCTGTACATGCTTCATTTGAAGACAGTACTTTATAATTAGTAAATTATTTCATGTAAATCTTATAATGGTTAGCATCTTTTATAAAAAATTTTCCATTCCTTTGAATTCCCTTTTGAACCAGTTCAAAATTGTTTCAATTATTCTAAGTTATAACATTTTACAACTAGATCAAGGAAGATACTCCTTGTTAGCATTAACATTAAATTTTTTTCTTCTCTTTCTTACCTCTTTATTCATCCAGATAAACTTTAGAATTATTTTTTCTGATTACAGAGATAATACTACAAAAATATTTTAAATAAAGCTTTAATACCATAAATTAAATTTGCCTCTTAAATTTTATATAAACGGAATTGATTATACAGTATGTACTCATTTGTGTCTGGCTTCTTTACTGAACATTATGTTGTGATATTTCTCCATATTGGTTTATGTAGCAGGAGCCTGTTCCTTGTCATTTGCTGTATAGCACTCCACTGTATGACTAGACCCAATTTATTTATCTATTAGCTATTGAAGGACATATGGATTGGTTTCTCGAGTTTGATACTTTCACACTCATTTTCTTGCTGAGGAATACCTCTTCAAGCGCTACACATATTTTCTTTTTTAAAACAAATTAAAATAAAAGGCATGGTTGCTAAATATTTAGAAATATGAGATTATTACCCTGAAACTTTAACAGGTTGAGCAGCCATTCACTGTTATATTCTCAAATATTAACTAGGACAGAAAAAGCCCAAATGAGACTGTCTCTACACATACTTAGCAGTGTCTATATCGATTTTCAATGCACAGTGCTATGTCTACCTAGTGACAAAGTCTTCTACCTCAGAGCAGTGTATCTCAAACTTTAATGTGCATAAAGGATCATTGGGAATCTTGTTCCAATGCAGCAGGTCTGGGCTGGGCCTGGGATTTTGCATTTCTAACAAGCTATCAAGTGATACTAAAGCTGTTTGTCCATGAACCACACCATGAGTCACAAAGCCTTCAATGATAGTAAACTAGATTATTACAAACAAGAGTGTGAGCTCACATGTGTGAGAGAACTTGCTAACTTAGTGAAAATAAATGCACCATAATCTACAACATACAGATTAAAATCTACCTAACTTTCAGCCAGACCTGCCCTACACACTAGATCAGAATGGCCTTAAAACACAGAGTAAAAAAATACACCACTGTGCAAACACTTTCTGTTGATTTATCTACTTAATGGGACCACTTCTACTCCTCAGATCTTCACAGACAATTTTAATCAGATTTAGTCAGTGTCCCCTGGAAATTGAAATTTCTTTCTGATCTAATCATCTTTCTTATTATGGGAAAAGTATCTGTTGACATGAGACAGATAAGATCTTTTCTTAAAAAACTCCCAATGACATAAACACAATGTAAAGAACTAGTATCCTGCACTCTCTGAAGGAACTGAAATAAATGTCTGAGGTCATCTGTAAATAGCAATAAAAGATTACCCTAATAGTTACCATTGACTGAGCTTCCTGGAATAGAATTCTGGACAGTGAGTATTACTTCTAAGATAAAAGAGATACGTCCCTATAGACAGGAAATAAAGTGGTTATAGCAAATAAAGTAAATATTTCAATTAATTACTATATTTGTAGGTGCTAAGAAAATTTAAGACTTAAAAAAATCTTCTAATTTCTTCTTAATCGCACCTAAATGTTGAGTATGTGTTCATGTGCCTTAAGCACTAAGAAAAAAATACATTTACTATCAGTGCTTTAAATTTAAACTAATAAGGGAAAAATTGACCAGCTAATGGTGAATACTACATTTCATGTTTTTTAAATAATTTTTAATTTTTTAAATTACAGTTGATATACTTTATATTAGTTTCAGGTATACAACAGTGATTAGACATTTATTTAACTTGCGAAGTGATCTCCACAATAAATCTAGTACCCACCTGACACCATACATTGTTATACAATATTAACTATATTCTTTATGCTGTACTTTACATCCCCAGGACTATTTTGCAACTACTAATTTGTACTTTTTATTCCCTACCGCTATTTGTACTTTTTATTCCCTACCGCTATTTGTACTTTTTATTCCCTACCGCTTTTTACCCATCCTCCCAACACCATTCCCACGTGGCAACCATCAAAATGTTCTCTGAATCTGTGAGTTTGTTTCTGTTTTGTTTGTTCAATTGTTTTGTTCTTTAGATCTCACATAAGTGAAACCCTATGGCATTTGTCTTTCTCTGTCTGATGTACTCCACTCAACATGATAGCCTCTAGAAACATCTATCTTGTTACAGATGGTAAGATTTCATAATATTTTATGACTAAGTCATATTCCATTGTATATATGTACCTCCTCTTCTTTATCTATTCATCCACTGGTGCCTCCATTTCTTGGCTATTGTGAACAATGCTTTAATGAACATATGAATTCACATGTCCTTTCAAAGTAGTGTTTTGGTTCTTTGGATAAATACCCAGAGGTGGGATTACTGGGTCTTTCTTTGTCTCTTGTTATAGCCTTTGTTTTAAAGTTTATTTTGTCTAGTATAAGTATCGTTATCCCTGTTTTTTTGTTTCATTTCCATTTTCATGAAATATCTTCTTCTGTCTTTTCACTTTAAGCCCATGTATATCTTTCAATCTGAAGTGAGTCTCTTGTAGGCAGCATATGTAAGGGTTATGTTTCATGTTCTAAGTGAAGTACCAACCAAATTTAATTTGAGTAAAAATGACCTAACATCTCTAGATATTAAAATAACACCAATTAATTAAATCAAATTGTATCATTGTGAAGATTGAGACCTAAAATTTTAAACTACTAATGTATTAGGAAAACTTGAAGAAAAGAACACAAGATAGCATAATAATATTAACAATAGTTTTCTAGCATGTAGTCTAATTTTGTTATATTACTGAGAAAATTAAAAGAAAGTATTTATGCCAAAATAGTAAATAAGTAATACATGATATACATATATATGAATATTTAAGAAGTGATGCTTAAGAGAAGAACATGATTACATTTATGAAGATTTAAGTCTTAAAAGTTAGGGCTTTGAGAGAGACCCCCAAGAGGAGTGAATTGTAGAAGCCTCTATTAACTAAAGGAAGAATAATATTAGAAATGTGTTTTTGTTTCCCTAAGGTTAATAAATAGTTCCTAAATAATATATTGCTTGCCAGCAAGACTATAGTTTAAAGAGGGAGAAATATTTCAAAGCATGTATGTGGAACTTCTGATAAGAAGCAATGTTCACCAAACTATCTTCCAGTTATCATTGCTATATAACAAACCACCTTAACACTTAGTGTCACAAAATAACCATTTATTTTCCTCATCAATTCTTCATCACAGTACAGATAACTTCTCTCTATTCCACAATTTCTGAGAACTCAGCTGGGAAAACTCAAAAGCTGAACTCTGGAATCATCTTTAGGCATGTCTGGCAGTCGATGCTAACTGTCAACTCAGCATGGACCTCTCAGCTATCACTCGGAGCTGAGACACCTACATGTCCCCTCTCCACGTGACTTAGGCTTCCTCACAGCATAGTCACCTCAGATGAGTCAAACTTCTCATATGGTTTCTCAAACTTCCAAGGCCAGTGTTTCAGTTGACAAGGAAGCTGCCTCGCCTTTCCTGACTTAGCCTCAGAGTTCACAAGACCTCACTTCCACTGCATTTCAATAGTTATGGACAACTCAGAAGCCCACCAGTACTCAAGAGGCAATACTATTACAGCTGTCTTGGAAATTACAATCTGCCATAGAACTAACATTTTTTTTTAGATGTTTTTCTTTTCATTAGCATTATGCCTCTGTATTTTAATTGGGTGAACAATATTTTATATATAAGATGTGAGGTTCACATCCTTTCCATTAAAACGATGCAAAAATTGCACCACTGACTTCTGAAATTTAGTGTTAGAGAGCAGATACTTTAGGCCAGCCTGATATTTATTCCTCATTAAATAACCTCCTCTTTATGTCTCATACTTATAGGATTCTTGCCATGTGGAAGATTTTGAATTCAAATGCCTGTAGGCCACAGAAAAGTGTTGTGTTATAAAAAAATTATCTGACTCAAGTTCAGCATTAGGGCTGGAAACTACTAGCTCTAGGACACTGGAAGGTGCTGGCATAATACTTTCCCTAACTGCATTTTCTAGTTAGTATCAATTAGCAAGAAATGCATGTCCCTGAAAGCAGAAAGATTTTAGGGACTTTTTCAGAGGAGACATGTGACTGTTCGTGGCACACTTGGAGACTCCTAATTTAAAGGAAAACAAAAGACTTGAGAAAAATTGTCTCACCCTCCTTAGGAAAAGTAAGCGTTAGTCTTTCATTTCAAAAGCATACTGTATTATTTTGCTAGGGCTGCCATACCAAAGTACTACAAACTAGGTGCTTTGAACAATAAGAACATATTGCTTAAACAGTTCTGGAGGCTAGAAATCTCAAATCAAGGTGTTGATTCCATGGAGGGCTGTAAGAACTAATCTGTTCCATGCTTCTCTCCTAGCTTATTGGAAACTTTTGACATTCCTTAGCTTCTGCTTCATCACACCAATCTCTACGTTCATCTTCACATGGTATTCTCCCTGTAAGCATGCCTGTCTCCAAATTTCCCCTTTTTTTTAAGAACATGATTTATACTAAATTTGGGGCCCACCCTATTGTGACATGAGCTTATCCTAAT